ACTATAGAGTTATGACTTAAAATTTGCCTATAGACTGAAACCTAAATCTAAATAGCCTTTTTCAAAAAATGTATTAACAAACCGATTCTAAAATGTACAGTTCAGAATGGTCATACCCCCTTTTAAGAAAAACAAAGGAGAACGCCCTCTTCCAGCTATGAATCCTTCTCAGGAGGCCTTGGTGGTGTCTGTATGGGTTGGGCCCAACCAGAGACGACAGCCTGGAACCACATAACCTGCAAGCAGCTCCCCACACAGACTGGCTGCTGCTTCTTCCTCCTCCTCCTCCCCTCTTCTTCTCCTTCCCTGCCCCCTCGTTCTCCTCCTCCTCTTGTAAGTGTGTGTGGTAGTAAGGATGGTACCCCTGGCTTTCACACCAAACTATCTTTTCTCCTTTTTCTTTTTTCAAGTCAGGGTCTCACTGAGTTGCTAGATTACCAAGACTAGGTTTGAACTTGTGATCTTTTTGCCACAGCCTCCTAAATGCTGGGATTGCAGGTATGTGCCACCATAGCTGACTCCTTATTCATGATGGTGGTGGCCTCACAGAGCAGTGGGAACAGGTGGTGTTTTACTAAATAAACTTAACATAGTCCTGGAAAACAGTGGATTTAACCCAGTGTACACATTAACATAAAAATCAGTCTAGTTGAATTGTTCTAAATGTATAAGGCAAAACAAATTGCTTCAGATAATATAGAAGGATGTTTTTCATTATCTTTAAAGGACTTCTTTAAATAAGATATTTAAAACATCAAACATTGATGTATTTGTATTAAAATTAAGAACTTCTGTTTAAAAAATCATCCGAATTTGAAAATACAAGCATAGAATGTGAAAAGATACATGGTCTACCTTTCATACTTCGGGATTCTGTACATCAAAAATATTTAGAAAAAGTAATTGCATCTATACTAACTATGCACAGAGTTTTCTCTATCATCAGTCTCTAACTAGTCCATTACTACAACTCCTTGCATAGTACTTGCATTGTATTAAGTATTATGAGAAGTGTAAAGATGGTTTAAAGTGTATGAGCAGATGTGCATACGTTATATGCAAACACCGCATTACTTTATTAAATAAACATTTTTATGTCTGTGAAGGTCCTGGGTAGAGGTTTCCATGGATACCAAGGAAAAAGTATATGAAAGACAAAAGTCTCTTATTCAGAATATACAAGGAATTCCTATCAATAAAATGTCAAATGCAAATAGTTGCCATAAAAAGAGGCCATCCAAATAACTAATAAACATAGGGAAATACACTTACTATCAGTATTAATCAGGGAAATGCAAATTTAAGTTATTTTCTTATACAATGAAATACTGCTGTACAGTCAGCAATGGTTAAAAATTAAACTGTTGTTGGTATCAAGTATGGGTGAGGATATGAAGCCTCTCACACAGCTCTCAGTGGTGAAGTCTCCATGCACTGCTGGTGACCTACAACTTAACAGAATTGCTCTTGGAAAGGGTTTGTGCATTATCTATTAAAATATATATGTTCCCGCTCTTAGCTGTCTACTCATCAGAAACAAATGCATAGAGCACCTAGAGTCAGGTATAAGAATTATGACTATGTTTCGCAATCACTTAAAAACTAAAAACAGTGAAATTATCAACATTGTGTGTCATGCAAAGGAATATTATAATAGGGGTACCAACAAAAAAAACGAAATAAAAATAAAACTACACAAACTGGGTGTATCTCATAATGTGTGACAGAAGTCAGAAGATTTTAAAATCCAGGCAAGATAAATGATAGGCGTTTCATATTAGGATACATGTTTAGCTGGTGGAAGCAAGGAAATGATGATTATAACAATCAGAAGTAGTTTTCCTTGACAGACAGGAGGGTAGCAGTTGGAAGAGGATGTAGGGGGAGGGCCTTTGGAGCTAAAGGAACATGCCTCTGTATGATGAGTCATTGAGTTGAGGAAGGGGAAACAAAGCACAGGAATGAACTTCAGAGGTATAAACCTCACAAATAGCATTAAAAGCTGGAAGTCATTGGAACAGTTCCCTGAAAGTTCTGAGAAAAAAGTTGATTTTCATCTTGGAAGACAAATCCTCAGTCAAGGCTGAGGGCAGAGTAAAGTCTTTAATCTTTCATGTACTCTCTGGGGAAAATCCTTGAGGGTATATTCAAATAGAAAGTCCAGCCAGGCATGGTGGATGTGTAATGCCAGCACTCAGGAGGCTGAGGCAGGAGGATCAGTGCAAGTTTGAGGCAGCCTGGCCTGCATAGCAAGTTCAAGTCCAGCCTGAACTACATGGCAAGGCCCTGTCTCCAAAAGAAAGGGGGGAGGAGGACAGCGCAGAAATGTGTAATTCAAGAACATTGGAGGCCAGGGAAAAGAAATCCAGTAGCTTTGCAACAGGTTTTAAAAGAAGCTCCAAGAGAAATGGCTTTTCAAAGGACGAAATGATTTCCAAAAAATAAATACTGGTGATAGGCTTAAAAGGATGTATTTTTCTTAATAAAAGAAGGTTTATTAGAAACTTGTGGTATGTTAGAAAGCTAGAAAAGAAATATAGTCTAAATGGAAAACATCTAAAAGGACATGATGTCTGAGTAATTGATGGAATGTAAGAAAAGAGAGCCCATTCTGGAAACATTCTCAATTTTTGTATGAGTGGGAGCAAAGGTCATATGGTCTTAGAAAATGAGATGTGATCCCAGCTATGGAGCTAGAAAGATTTAAATGCGCAGATGCGTACATAACCATGGTACTGGATTTCAGTTTTTAGACACATCCTAAAGGAGAGCACAAAAGGCTTTCTATAAATATAAAAATAAGTGTGTTAGTAAGCTTGACCATTTAAGCTAGAAGTTTGAAAAAAAAAAAAGGAAGATAGATGAAAAGAAAAGGAAATGAAATATAATAATCCCATTTTTTAGCCTCATAGTTGTCTCATATAATAGTTTCATTCCTCATATTGGAGAATCAAGAGGCTCTTTTAAAAGTTGACCAAATGAGGTTAGGCATATTATTTAAAGTTACATAATGTTGTAGTCAACCAAAGAAAAACCTAAAAATAACATGAGAACAAACATGGGTGGTATTGGGCATTTCAAGTAGGTGGCTAATCCTCATTGTGGGGAGTAAATAGTTCTTTCTAAAGTTGACAAATGAAAAAGTGATGCTAAAAATATACTTCTGGAGTTAAGTGATGATAAGAACACTTGAAAGTCATTACTCCTGGAGTTGGAACCAGGAGTGGCAAAGCATGTGTTCATTTAGATGCTTCAAGTTCCATCCGGTTCATTTTGGATAAAACATATGCTGACAGATGAAAAGTATGTGCTTATCATGTGCTGTATATTGTTTTGAAATAAATAAATGTATACATATACATTCTGGAATAGCTAAAGTTAATTTACATACTCATTACCCTCACTTTTTTGTAGTGAGAGTACTTAAAATCGATTCTTAGCAATTTTTAAGACTATAATACAGTGTTATTAACTGCAGTTACCATGTTGTACAGCAGAGCCCTTGAACTTTCTCATATCACCTTTCTACTTAAAGTTTTGGACAAATACTTAAAACAAGATATGTCCATTTTCAGACTGTTGAACCGTAGAAATATATAGGTTCAAATATATGCTTATATATGTATGATAATGATTTGTTTCACAAACTTATCTTCAATATTTTTATTATGAGTGATACATTTGCATACAAGCATATAGTCTTAACCAAATTAAAGAAAAGGCAATCATGAGAAATGCTATTTCTAATCATTCCTTACTGAAAACTGCAGTGGACAGCCTTTACAAATTGTTGAATTAAGTTAGACTTGTTTGGCCAAAAAGGTTTTTTTGTTTGTTTGTTTTTTTGGTACCAATAATTGATCTCAGGACTTTGTGCTTGCTAGGCAGGTGCTTTACCGCTGAGCTATATCCCTGGCCCCCCAAACTCATTTTTAATAACAAAGAATTGCCAAGTATGGTGGTGCATGCCTGTAATCTCAGCACTCAGTAAACTGAGACAGGAGGATTGCTGCAAGTTCAGGGCCAGCCTGAACTACACAGTGAGACCCTGTCTCAGAAAAAAAAAAAAGTGTAGCCAGTGTTACAAACTTACAGAACAAATAAATGGACACAATATTTAAAATGATGCCTACTTCTCAGGTGTTCTTCAGTAGCTTTTAATGTCTGATGAGTAGTAGTAAAAGATACACTAATGATACTGTTAATGGTAGTTTAAAATCTGAAAATATGTGGTCAGGCTACTCAATTTTTCATGTCTGTTTTCTGGAGGGAAATGAATACTAAATTTTATGAGGGAAAATCTTACCAGATGCTGGAAACACAGGCTCTAGATTTCATTTTTACCATAGTAAGAGGTAGTATTAACAGCCTCTTAAAGGTAGTTGCTTACTTTAGGGATTAAAAGTTGCTTATTTTCAGATTTTGTATTTTGAGCATTTACCTCAAGCTAATATTTTCTCATCTTGGAAAAACACATTTAATGCACCTAAATTTTTTGGATTATTTTCATGAACTCAACCATCCTTTTAACCCCAAAATGTGTTCACATTTTAATCAGAGATGACAATGAATCTTATGTTTCTGTATTTTTTTAAACTGACCATTTCATTCTTGCTGTCCGACGTGCTGCATTAAATTACCTGGTTCTGAAAATGTTCATCTAGGGGCTGGGGGTTTAGCTCAGCGGCATAAGCGTCTGCCTTGCAAGCCCGCGTTCGTGAGTTCGATCCTCTGTACCGATTAAAAAAAGAAAGAAAGAAAATGATCATCTCAGCTCGCTCAGCTCAGTACAGAGGTAGCTGCATAGGCAGCGGCTGTGGCTCCACGTGGACTCGGTGCTCTCCCCCGAGCACTTCTGTGTCCAAGCCCTAGGCTTGGGCTGAAGCGAGGTGGAAATGGTCTGTGTCCATTTTACAAAGGCAGCACATTTATTGCATAGTTGCCATTGCTGTTTACCAAAACCATTCTAATGGATTGCTTATTGTATTTCCTAATTGTAGTGCTGCTTTTGATACAGTTCTTGGGATTAATGTTGCAGTCAAGAAGCTAAGCCGTCCTTTTCAAAACCAAACTCATGCAAAAAGAGCTTATCGGGAACTTGTCCTCTTAAAATGTGTCAATCATAAAAATGTAAGTTATATGTAAGTTTCCTCCGTATACTTTTATGTTAATGAGGTGATGATCTTCAGGGCCTTTTAAATACCATGAGTTCAGACCTGGGGTAAACTAATGAAAATGATGACTACTTGTTTATTTCGTGGTATGGCATTCACCTTGAGCTACATCCCCGCCCCTACTCCCCTTTTTTGTACCAGGAATCAAGCGCAGGACCTTGCACTCGCCATCCTACCCCTTTTTATATTTTATTCTTTTGTGATTTGTGATAAGGTCTCAAACTGTGATTCTTTGCCTCAGCCTCCCCGCTTGTTGGATTACAGGCCTGTGCCACCATATCTGATTTAGGGATAAATTTTTAATTAACAGTGGGGAAGTCAAAGTTACAAAGATGCTTCATGTTCCACAGGAATTTAGGTCACTCAGTTAGGGTAGAAATGCTCATTTAATCCTGTGGCCATTTGGTTTCATTATTTCTGTTTTCATAAAATGAGAACAATACATTAATACATTGAAAAACACCTAAATATTTTTTGGGAAAATTTTGTATATATAGCTTTTGCCTTATATACAGAAATCTCATTAAATACATGTTATTAAATGATGTTCAAGATAGCAGTACTTGGTATTTGTATAGTAATATGCAACTAAATTTTTAGTGGGATTAATAATAGGTCTCTAGAAAATGAAAGTGTATATCTAAGAAAGCAAAAATCCCGAAGTCTCTCAACCCACAGATCACTAACATTAACATTTTAGTGAGCATTTTTGTACGTATTTTCCATGTATAGATAAACAAAATCTATCGTCCTGCTTTTTCCTTGGTGGATGCTTTACTGGTCATAGATATAATCAGTTTTTAAATGGCTGCATAATACAGATGCACAATAATTTATTTAACAAATTGCCTGTTGTTGGATGGATTATTTCCAGCTTTTTGCCATTGTAAACATGGTACAGTGAAGATCCTTACACATGAGTATTTGCATGTTTTTCCAGGTGAGTTTGCAAAGAATCTGAACACGTCTAGTATAATGTACGCTGACAGACGGACCTCAGGGAAAGCCATCAGTTTTATAGTTTCATGAAAAATGTCTGAGAATATCTTTAGAATCTCCCAACGCTACATTTTGCTGGCTTTTTTTTTTTTTCTTTTTGCCAGTCTGATAGATGACACATTGTATCTTACTATTTGTGAAGTTGAACTTCCATGTTCATTAGTGATTTATTTTTACCTTATTGAGAATTTAGTTTTCATGATCTTGGTCTATCTTTTTTTTTAACTGTTGGCCTCATTTTTAGGTATTTATTGGAAGTTTTTATATAGTAGAGCTATCAACCTTTTTTCACATTATGTTGCTTTTGACATTGATTTTCTGCTATATGTTTTTGGTTTTGTTTTAATGTAATCAAACACTCCAAGTTTCCTGTCATGCTGAGAAAAGGTTTTTTAATACCAGAATTTTGTAAACATTTATCTCTTTTCTAATGTTTTACAGTTTCATGTTTTAGATTTAAAACTTCTTTCATTTCCCACATATCCTGACATAAGATTCACACCACTAATTTCTTCCTTGTTAGCTGGTCATCCTAGTCCTGGGTGATCCCAGGGAGCTGTCCTCTGAAATTTGAAATGACTGAGGTTGTTTTTGATGCCCAAAGCAAGGAGCCTCCTTTTATAACAACCATAAACGCTAGGAAGGTGCTCTGCAGCCTGATCAACTTTCTGAATCTTTAAGTAAATAGTGTAAAGCTGTGTGGCAATTTATACTTGTAATACCAAAAAAATACAAGTTTAACTTTCATATTTCTAAATTTTTCAGAAATTATATATAATATTCAAGTTTTCAGAGTTAACATGTTACTTTTATTAGTGTTTTTAGACTCATAATTTTCATTCATTTACAGAACCAGAAAGACATTGCATTTAAATTCTATAATAATAATCTAATAGGGACATATAAAAGTGATTGATTAAAAGTGCATCATATTTTTAATTTATGGTTAACTGTTTTTAAATGCCACCTAATAGAATGTTTCAATAAAAGCTATAACAATAATACATACTGAGCTGTGCTATGATTTTTTCTAGTTTTGATACTTTTTAATGTTTGACTATTAAAATCAAGAAGAGTCATCTGACATACTGAGGCATAATTAATTTTTTCTTTTCAGATCATTAGTTTGTTAAATGTGTTTACACCACAAAAAACTCTAGAAGAATTTCAAGACGTGTAAGTATCATTTTTGTTCAGCAGTGTATTATGTATCAATGACAAAATTTAGGAATTCTTTCTAGTAATTACTTTTCATACTTAGTTAACAGTGGTGGCCATGCATTTCTGATGCTATCATAGTTACTTCCGTCTGGGGTGACAAAACTCAAAGAGATGGGCAGCAGCACTGTGCTCCCCTGTGAGTGTGGGGCTGCCCTCTCCCTGATTATGAAAGGTATTTGAGGGACTAGGAGCAGACTGTGGCCACAAGGGCTGCATTGCTGTTTACTGACTTGTAAAATGCTGTACTCCAGTCACTCATAGCCAGGATTGCAGGGCTCAGATGTTTTCAGCATTATTTAAATGGTGATATCATTACTAGATGGTTAAATGGTGTGTATTTCCAGACTTTGTGCACACGTGTGTGTGTATGTGTGTGGGTGTGGGGGTGTGTGGTACTGGGGATTGAACCCAGGACCTTCTCACTCAGCTGCATCCCAGCACCCACCCCGCTGCTTTTTTGATTTTGAGACAGGGTCTTGCTAAATTGCCCAGTCTGGACTTAAACTTGTGGTCTTAGGTAGCCTTAGCCTCCTAGAGCACTGATATTACAAGCATATAGCACCACATCTAGCTTATTTCCAGACTCTTAAGTAGAATTACTAAATAAGAGTAAAATGAAATATTAATATATCATAATGACCTACATTGCCCAGCTTCATCCTAAATTCACTGCTGTGCTCAGTCATTTCATAAATATATGATTGCTCACATGTGCTACATGTTCTCTTCTTGGACTTGGCATACATTAGTGACCTCATGAGCAAAATTCTTTTTATTAAGGGATAGTAAACTCCCTTCTAGTGCCTGTCAGGGAAGCCAGGGAAGATGACCAATAAACTAAATATATAAGGAAAATGGTAATTTGTTAAAATATGTTCAGAAAAATCAAATTAGGGGTTGAGATCTTAGCTCTAGGAGCTGCGATTCAGGCTGCAAATTGATTCCAGTGGTATATGGGTCAGGGTTTTCTGGAGATGCAAATAGATATTGAAAGAGGACTTAGAAAAAGTGACTCACATAACTATGGTGTCAGAGAAGTCCCGGGATGGGCCATTTGCAGGCCTGACACCCTATTAGCATGGCTCAGTCCATATCCAGAAGCCACAGAACCAGGGAGGCCAGTGGTCCAAGTCACAGGCCTGAGGACCCAGGGTGCTGCTGAAGTATAAGTTCTAGAATCAAAAAGCTAGAGACTGGCGTTCTACCTGGACAGCAGAACAGGTCCGTCTCGATGCCTTCTGCATGTGTTCTCTGCAGCCCTGAGCAGGCTGAACGTTGCCTGCCACACTAGGGCAGATCTCCCTGTTTAGCGTGCTGAGCATCTCCCCTGGAGATGTTCCCCAGACAGTCCCCAAATAATGCCAGGTTGTTAGGTACGAATTCCTTAACCCAATCAAAATGATACCTACACTGACCATCACAGGGCAGTTGAGGGAAGCCTGCTGGTTACATCTGAAGAGCCTCAAAGGATATAAGAGATTTGATCTTCCAGATAATTTGGATTGAGATGGAATGAAGATCAAAGGAACAGGTCTTGCCTGGTAAATGTCAAGACCATCAAGAGGCCAGTTTGATCAGAGAAGGAAGAGGAGATGGTGAGCTCAGGAGCATGGTGTGCCAGACACTGCAGAGGCTCCTTTTCTTTCAGACAAGTCACGGTAGGATTTCCAGCAGAGCAGTGAGCTGCAGCTTTTGTTTTACAGCAGTGTCTGGTGTCTGGGTTGAGATTCTACCATAGGGAGGCTATTGCAGTTCACCTGAGAGATTTCGGTGGGTGACAGGGGAGAGGAAGAGACTAGACACCAGAGTTGTTTCGAATGTGGAGTTTTCTGATAGCTCAGAGGCAGTATGAGAGACAGGAGTGAGGACCTTGCCCTTGTTTGCTGCTGTAGGAGGGTGGTGGTGAGAAGAGCAGAGCTGGGGTAGGCACCAGTTTTAGATACAGCCTTGGAGATGTCTGTTAGACACACAGGTGGGGTGTGAGGGCAGGGAGATGTGTGAGCGTGGGGTTCAGGAGCAGTCCAGGCTAAAGGCAGGAGCTTGGGAATATGTGCGTGCTGCTGAGCTCACCAGGAGAGTGTAGGGTGACGAGAGGGCGGAGCCGAGGGCTGGCCACCGGCTCTCCAGCAAGAAGAAAGGGCGAGCTGGTAAGCCTGAGGACACTGTCCACAGTGCTGGCCCCTACGCCTGACCAGCCAGGAGTGAAGGGAAAGTAGATGAGGCCACGTGCTGATGTGAATACCTCGGTGGGGGTTACACCTGCAAAAGGGCAGCAATGAGGGGAGAGCTGATGGGAGAAACAGCATTGAAAGTTTCGTTTTTCTTGTTGTATAATCATTTTTTAAAAATAGACTTTGGGAGCCATTTAGATTATAGAAGAATTAAGCAGAAGGTCCAGAGCGCCTACATATTGCTACTCCTACACACATGTCACCACCCCACTACAGAGGTACACGCCCCAGACTCAGGCATTGGCTGAAGACAGGTGAGCCTGACAGCATGTTTACATTCTAGTAAGAATAATCAAGTAGCAAAACATTGTGAGAAGTAGGCACCTCTGTATGAGGTTCTATGTGCCATGATGTAAAAGCTATTTTGTTTTTAATTTGGAAGACTTTAGCTTTTATGTTCTTTGGAAACATTTTTACAGAGTTCTATTACATTTGATTCTTTTCCAGATGCTTCATAAGTACTTACAAAAAATAAGTTGTTTTCACATTACCACTGCAGGGATCAGATAAGGTTATTACTGTTTCATAACAATTCTGGTTTTTAGTCACCAGTATGGAATTTTGGATAATTTTCATGAACATGGCTGATTTTTTTCTTATCCTCAGGTATTTGGTTATGGAATTAATGGATGCTAACTTATGTCAGGTTATTCATATGGAATTAGACCATGAAAGAATGTCCTACCTTCTTTACCAGATGCTTTGTGGCATTAAACATCTGCATTCAGCTGGTATAATTCATAGAGTAAGTAATGACATCATAATCCTATTTTTAAAATAACTCTCATTTGGTTATCACAATCCGCTAGGTCCAATAGAAATCAATCAAAAATTTAGCTTGGTTGAAAATGAAAATAAACCGAATCATGTTGTATTTCAAAATACTGTTCAGACCTGAAAACATCTGTGGTTGGTGCAGGCCATGATAGCTGCCAGGACACAGGAGTGAGGGAGCCCGTCTCAAACTGGTACTGCAGGAAAAAGCCTTTTGTTATTTTTTAAGCTTTTTATGTTGAAGCGCCGTAAACTTAGGGAGAAACTGCAAGACCAGGACAAAGAACTTTCAAATGCCATTTACTCAGATTCACTCACTGTAAATATTTTTCCCATATTTGAAATCATTTTTTTAATGAACAAGAAATTTAGATTTGGGGTAAGGGGAAGTTGGAGGCCAAATCACATGATAGCGTTGCCTGAACTATGATGAAGTAACATTTAAAAACCAAGGAGATGCCAGGGATTTAGCTCAGCGGCATAGCACTTGCCTGGCAAGGGCTAAATTCAATCCCAAGTACCAAAAAAAAAAAAAAAAAAAAAAAAAAAAACCCAAGGAGATATTCTAAGCTAGTTTTAACAGGTTTTTATTATCTTTTGATTTATACTGCTAGATAAACAGAACATCAGGATGCAGTTTCTTTTAAACATCTAAAATGTTGAGGGCAACTAGATGCAGACATAATGTAATTTAATTGGAAATATGTATTTATAGCCTTTCCAGAGTTATATTATGCTAATTGTGTTAACAGACTGGATGTCATCTTCTAACACTGAGAAGTCTTTAAACTACAATCTATGTGGGGAGGAGCCAAGGACCGTGAAGTCTGTGGAGACAGGAAGGGTAGATACCGTGGTTTTGATTCGTTCAATCTGTCAGGTGCCATGGATGCGGTGTCTGTCACAGCCACAGACAGCGGCGCCTTGCACAGGGCAGGCCAGAAGCCTGGCCACGGAGCCTCACAGCTGTGGTACCAGGCCAGTGTCAAGGCCATTGCATCCCCTGGGGGCTGCAGTGCCGCAGCCCTGTGCCGCAGCAGGTTGTCTGTCATCACTTAAAGTGCTAGAAGGCTTGCCCTCAGTCACTGCGCTCCCATCGGTTTGCTGACCAGCAGTGAGGTTTAAAGTGTAGCCTTTGCTGCCACCCAGTGGTCAGCTGAGGTGATGTCAACTGTGGAGACAAATTTGTTTCAAAAATAACTTGAGGCTCCTAAATTAAGAGTAGATGAACTATTCTATTTCTTTTTAAAATTTGTTAGACCTTTAAATAATATAAAGCATTCTTAATAGCTCTGTAATACATTTTTAAATCATGCTTTAGAGTGGTTTCCCACATTCTTAGGCCCGATTAATTTGGAAGGGGAAGCCATTTGCCTTACTTGTTTCTCCCCTTTGGGTCCAGAGGTCAGTGGGGAAGAGTGTACCCTGGGCCTACAGCCGTGTAGAAGCCGCAGCACACGTGCACCTGAGGGTCCCTCCCGTAACCAGCGGTCAGCAGGCCCAGAGAAGCATGTGGCCTGCATTTGGGCACCTGCAGAGACCCAGGAGATGACCTGTTACCTCGGCATTCTATTCCCCCACCAGGCCTCACTCTTCCTGTCTTCCTCTGTGCCCTCTCGCTTTACACATTCGCATTTGTGGTGCGCACTCACTAAGGGAAACTTCCACACATTGCACAGTGTATCAGGTCCCTGTTGCCAGCCCACACCACCTCCGCCATGCCCCACAGCGCGAAGAACCTTAAAGTAACTGTTTAGCGTGTTGGCCATCTTGTGTGAGCTGGAGCATCATACATCTATACTTGTGCTTATTAAAGTGCTTCTGCATAAAGCATAAATTTTAATTATTGGAAAATAATTTTGTACTGTAATCTCACCACATCCCCTCTTAGCGTCTGGAGATGCCCAGCGATAGCAGTGTTGCACATTTCCCTCCCTGTTACACCAACACTTCTGTGTTCCCTTGTGTATCCACTCCCATGCTGGATTTCCCACTCCCTAACTGTCCTTCTAATGCTCCTTATCTTTTTCCTTTCTCAGATTGTTTTCTTCTCTTAATGGGAAATGTCTTTCCCTAAAAATGGTGTGTGGAGTAGAAAGTCTCCAGTGCCAATGAAAATCTCCAGAGGCCTCCAGTGCCTAGAAATGTCTCCTGGCCTCTCCCATGATCCATTTTGGCTAAATGTAGAATTCTTCAGTAGAGATTATTTGCCCTCAGAGTGGCGTGTACAGTGAGTACCCCATCATAAGGAGGCGTCAGGTATAGCTCTGGAGCTTTCCAGTGCCATGCTACTGTCCTTCATGATACTCTGCTTCTGGTTTTGTTCTGGTTCTGTCTCTGGGAAAATCTGAAATCATTCCTTTATTCCTTTCCTTGATACTATTTTCCAATTAACTGTGCTTGTCCTTCAGTATAGAGACATTCGAATAAAAAGTTTGCATTTTTTAGTATGCCCTCTTTACTGTGTTCTTTATTCTTTCTGTGAAGCACAGCATAGTTGGAACTTTTATCCTTAACAGTTTTTTTCTTAATATTTTGTTCTTGTTGCATGGATGCATGTCATCTCTGAGGGCATATTTTTTGACATTTTTTTCACTCATGCATTGTTTCCCTCTTTCTGAGTTCCTTTTTTAGTCCCTCTCTGTCACTTGAAACCTTTTTCAGGTGTCTAGCCATCACTTGCCATTGTCATATTCATGTCTAAGGCATCAGAAGTTCCCAGTGTGTAATCTGAAACTTGGTGAGCAGGTCCCTCAGGGTGGCATGCCACCCTGTTTGCAGAAAGCCGCACTGTTTGCAGGTCTTTTCTCTGGGAGCCATTTTTCTAGAAAATACCTCCAGAGCAGTATATTGGCTAGGACTGTACCTGTGACTCCTGAGTGAGGAAACTCAGTTTCATGCTGTCCAGTTGGTAGAGGAGCCAAGGTGAGGAAGCAGTGGGTACCTGTCTTTGGGATGAATCCAGAAATGTGGGGCTTTCTGCCACTCCATCCCCAGAGAGTTGGTTTTCCATTGAGCACAGCCATAGTCCGTGGGTAGTTAAATATGCAAATTAGAGCAAGTCAGAAGGCAGCAGGGGCCTGACTTCCTGAGGGCAGGTGGAAGGAGGCAGAGGAGCAGGACACAGTGCAGAGTCCTCGTGTCACCACAGTAGACTCGTCTCATGGGAACGGTGCCACCCCCATCCACCTGCCTGCTCAGTTGGGAGGAAGAGGCTGTATGAGAGTGGTGGGTTCTGGAAGGAGCCTTTGAGGCTGTCTGTCTCTTGCACTTTTGTTGCAGCTGAGAGTATTCCATGCCCTCCACAGTGCCCCTGGCCTGCTGAGCTCTGCTTGTCTACGTGGCTGAGTGGCTGCTCTGCTTTGATTCCCAGGCTCCTCATTTCCTCAAGGGAAGCTTTTAGAAGGTGGAGACTGGTGGGAGGCACCTGCCCTGCATTTCAGAGCCACCCAAGTGCTCATTCTCCTCTGCTAGTCTTCATTCTCTTAGTTACCCCTGGCAGATGTCTGTGGCCTCTCTGGAATTCAGCCTAAACCTGAGTCTCACAGCTCACGCTGGGCCCTGCAGACCTCTCCTCAGCCCACAATTATGTGGCTGGATCTGATGGCAGTAGTTCACTGGCCTGTGAGATCAGGCTTCTAAAGCTGGGAAGGCCACATGGAAGCCTGATAGCAACCTTCTCAGTGCAGAAAGTCACAAGCATTATGGACCAGGCAGGGGTGAAGGGATGGATGGATGGGAGCTCAGTGCCAGTATTAAGGCCTCAAGGTTGCAGGGCAGTGGACTCGTTCACATCTCACTTTAATTCACTCATGCAGCCCTCAGACACACTAGATGGACTAGAGAAGGACTGTGACTGGCACGAGCTTAATCACCTAGCCATCCTGGGTGCAGCTGTGTGCTGGGTGCTCAGCGTTGACAGAGCAGGTTAGAGAGCTGTGGGTCTGGATGTTGATCGGGCAAATGTTGATGCTAAGAGGAAGTCAGAGATCCACACTGGTGTAGGTCAGATGGTGAAATTCCCTTATAGTTTTACTCAGCTGTGGTTAGCTCTCCCAGCTGTCATGGTATGACGGGAAGAGACCCAAATAGCCTCCATCTACTGCCTGACCCACCAAGACAGAGCAGGCTTGGCGATGCCAGGGCCTCCAGCTTTCAGCTGCCACTCGGATCCTGGGTCAGTCACCTTCAAATCATTGTGGACGACAGGGAAATGCAGACCATGGATCCTGTCAAGCAGGGCCTTCCCACCCCGCCCTCCCAGGTTGCCTCGCCCAGCTGTGGCCCAAGTCTGGAAGCTGAAGCAGCAGTGACTCACAGTGATCACAGTCAGCCCTCCACATCTCTGTTCTTGCCCTGACCTGCCGATGCTGTCCTCTAGCTGCAGTCTTCACAGTCTCCTCTGGCTCAAGCCTGACCTGAAGGTCAAGGATCTTTAGTAACTTGCGTTTCTTTCTTTGTTTCTGATGGTTCTCAAGATTGGAAGAGTCAGAGTGTCTTTGCCAGAACACTGGCTCGCATACTGTGTTATGGAGCCAACTAGGGGGTCTGTGGGGAGAATGAACTGCAAGCCCTTCGAAGGCCCTGAGAGCTCATTTCCCATTTTTCCCTGGCAGGCAGTGACAACCTCTCACAGTCGTGTTTGTGATACCTTGCACAGAGGGCCACAGGGCAGGATAGCTGTCTTCATCAGAGGCATCCCAGAACGATGTTTTACTGTCTTAGCTTTCTGGAAGTTGACAGTAGAGTGTGTTGTTCCAGCAGAATCAGCATGTACCTGCAGCTTCCTGGCCGGTGGCATTGTCTGATGATGGGCATGGGTTTTGTTTTCTTGGGTTCATCAAGCTGACACAGATGTTTTCTATTGTTGCCCCTTGCCCTGGTAGAACCAGTGCTCCTGTGACCTCATTCACGTGGCTGGGCAGTGAGTTTAGGTCAGCTTACAGCCAGAGACCTCTGTCAGTCCTCCATACCCTTGAATTCTGTATCCACACATACAGCCCTGCAGACCAAAGACATTTGGAAAACAAAAATTGACATGCATGAACTTTATTCTTGTTATTCTTTAAATAATATAGTACAACAACTATTTACATATCATTTGCATAGTGCTAGGCGTTATAAGATACCCAGAAATGATTTAAAGTACACAGGATTGCCACTTTGTATACAGGACCTGAGCCCCCATGGATTTTGGTATCCCTGGCGGCCTTGAAACCAAGACCAGTCCACCACTGACAGAGAGATGCAGTGGGGGGACCTGATAGAGATTATCATAGCATTTTTAAACATTATATATTTATCATTCATATATCACAAATCCAGAGATTTTAGAAAGCACTTAAGAGTATCAAGACACAATTGTATTGAAACGTAATTTTTATGTAGCTTTCTCCTTGTCCTAATAACCTCCCAGCATCTCTGTCTCAAGGCATTCGTGCATACTGGGAAGTTTTTAAAGTCAGTGCTGAACAATTTTATGGACCCTGACATTCACACTTAAGTACCCCTGTTGTACCTTGTGGTGGTGACCTGCCAGTTTGACATTGCAGCTGCATGTTTGTACTCTTGTGAGAAGAAAAGATGTGGATTGTTTCGAAGTCATGGTTTCTAGAGTTTGCTGGCTGGGCTCCCATGCAGAAGTCAAATCCTATGGCTTGGGGAAGAGGAAGGGTGTGGGGGCCAGCACAAAGAGGCCCCTTATGCCATGAAGGACAAGCAGAAGTTGTGCTAAGGCACTGGAAGTACGATCCAGCGTGACCTATGTGTTCACTCGTTGAACATTTTGTCATGTAGTGCGTGTTGTGTCAAGCAAGCTTCCAAGTCCTAAGACACTGGGAACAGGAAGCGAGGGGCAGCCAGAAAAGGAGAGCGTCATTTCTTTTGTACTAAATCCAGGCTTGGCACCAATACCAGGTTTGATGTGTGAGGGAGTCGGAAGTCCTTGTGAGGGGAAAAGAGCTGAGATGAACAATCTTGGAATCCCCTCCCAAAGAGAAAAAGAGCTACAGGAAGACCCCAAGCCAGGAAATTCTAGACCTGTGTGGCCAGTATGGGAGCTACTGGCCACGTGAGGTCTCAGTACTCAGGATGTGGCCACAATCATATACACTGCCCTCAGGACTATAACGTGTGAGGCAGCTTTTTATGTGGGTTACATTCTAAAATGATAATTCTGTGGACATACTGGGCTAGATTAAATACATTATTAAAATAAATTTTATCTGTTTTAACATGGCTTCTAGAAACGTAAATAACAGATATCCTGACATTACACTGCTGTTGGGTAGTAAGCCCCTGGACTGCTGAGTGTGAGGACCTTCGAGGGCAGGACGGGTTGGAGGAGCGGAAGCTAGGGCAGCGTGAGGGCAGCGTGAGCAGCGGCCAGGAGGAGGGTATGCACAGGGCACCCCGCAGGGCCAGCTGCTGTCCTCAGTGACTTCTGACTCCCAGCCCTGGCCCTCGAATGAAATGCAGGGGCCCTGGGTTCTAAGATTAGGAGTTTCCAAAATCATTCCCAAATCCTGGAGTTCAGTTCTGCCTGACCTCCCTGCCTGCTCACAAACTTCAGTAGTCATCAGCTTTATACCCTGTTACCAGTGTGAAACCAAGCCTTTGGCAGTTTTGGTTCATTTTATTTAAAAATAATTTTTTCCCCTAGGATTTGAAGCCTAGCAACATTGTAGTAAAATCGGATTGTACCCTTAAGATCCTTGACTTTGGTCTAGCCCGGACAGCATGTACCAACTTTATGATGACCCCCTATGTGGTAACGCGGTATTACCGGGCCCCTGAAGTCATCCTGGGCATGGGCTACAAAGAGAACGGTGAGTAGACAGAACTGCAAGCGCCTGTCGGTTTAATAGTAGCCCTGGAGGTCGAAACCAGCTTCACACTGTATGAAATACAATGTGGGGGCTGTTGGAATAAGATAGGAAATCATTCATTTTATGTTCCCATTGATTAAAATCAGACCTTTTGAACTTTTTAAAATCAAAGTAAAGCTTGCTTGTGGAGCAGTGTGTACACCTCAAGTGTGTCACTGGCTGTGAGCACACCTGCATCACCAGTGGTACCTGGGACCTCCTTCTGGGCCCTCACTGGGTCTCAACCCACAGGGTGGCCGCCCATTATTCCTGTTTCCAGCACTATAGAGTGACCTTGGTAATCTTTTTAAACCCATATAAGTGGACCAATGCAACACATTATCTTTCATACAAAATCAGTGTTTTTAGCATCAGACTTTTACTTATTCTGGAAATATCAAGGCATTTTGAAACTTAGCCTTTAACAAAGTTGTTGAAAAGGGCTATACCATTTATTTTGGAAAAAAAAGAGTGGACGTTTGCTTGAGTCTTTTGAAATCAGTTTAGCTGTGAGTTTATCTAACTCTTTGGAACCTGTGCTCCTGCCCTGAGAGGCACAGCTCTGCCTGTTTCATCAGGCCTGTTAATTTCTCACCAGGTGAACTCACTCTGGGGTAGCTTCGCCTGTGCACCCCAAGGCCTGAGGCCTGAGTTCAGCTGGGGCCCAGCCCTGTAAGCCCGCCTGGCTCTAGCCCACTCCCCGCATAGTGCTGCTGTCTCCCTAAGTGGCAGTTTAGGGAATGAGTATTCACAAGCTGTGGTGGTGTCTGTATTTTACCAAGCTCCCACGAGGGGCTGCCAAAAGGTACTGGGGCTGCCCTTGTTTGGGAGGGGGATTGGAGAAAAGTGGCGTGGGACTCGCTAGCTGGTTTTTAATTACCTGGTGTTTGGTAGTGGACATCTGGTCCGTCGGGTGCATCATGGCAGAAATGGTCCTCCATAAAGTCCTGTTCCCAGGAAGAGACTGTATCCTTCACAGGGAGAGACCCAGTGTTGGCCACGGAGGCTGGGGGTTGGTGGGAGACATGGCCCCGAAAGCTTTGTATTTATAGGCATTTCTTGTGTCTGGTTTTTGTTCCTTTTTGTTTTTATTTTTAAGCTGTAAAGTATTGGAATCTTTAGCTCTAAAACCTCAGATTGCTGAAAACTGAAAGCTAAAATAGAGGTCAGCAATCATTTGTATCATGTAAAAAATTCACCCTGAGCTGGCAATTTATTTTTCCATACTTGTGTGTTTAGGGCGCTGTTAGACCTCCTTTTTCCTCACCTTTGTTTTCTTCATGGCACTTCATAATTTTATCATTTCATTTTATTTTCAGTTGATATCTGGTCAGTGGGTTGCATCATGGGAGAGCTGGTGAAAGGTTGTGTGATATTCCAAGGCACTGACCGTATCCTTCCCCAGGACCTCGGCCCTGCGTGCTTTCCATACCCAGGGCAGCTTGACCACCTGCTCGCCTGAACGTGCACAAGGAAAATGCCGCAATGCCAAACAGTGTTCTGGGGTGCTTTGTGATGTTTGCTCAGTTAGTATCATGGGCCACGTGGTTCACTTAACTACCTGGGATGATCTTGAGACCTAAAGTTAAATCAATTATGTTAGCTGTTAATTTTATCAAAAATACTGGACTTATAGAAGAAATTATTTACTCCTTGATAAATGTGTTCTGACACTTAAATGGAAATATCATTTTATAATTTAGTTCATTCTATTAGATTAGCTAGAAAACTGCCACCTAAAATGTTTGTACAATTTAATTAATATATTTTGTTAGTTATTGGTATATTTTTTTTTCCCCCAGAGTAAGAACTGAAATACTTTCCATGAGACCTACATGGAAATGGTTCAAATGAAAATTTTGTGAGGGATAATTTGTTACTCCACTGACATGTTATAGAATTTTTTTTTAAAGTTTACATGAAGGGTTATTCTGTGACACGCTGGAAAAGTTAAATATAAAATGCAGAAAATTAATTCGTGTCATGGTCACAAATATATTGATGATATAGTATAATATAGGATAGGTCCCATAAAGTTGTAATACTTCCTTTCCTCCAGTCATTCCTCCATCTTTACTATTTTTACCCCTAACATGCTTCTTCATATAAATGCCTTTTCATTTGTATTCTTACTTTTTTCATTAGTCTTTGATTTTGTTTTTGTTATGAAAGTTTAAAATGGTCTTTGTCGTTGGTTAGGTTAATGGTTGCTTTTAATTGCTAAAAATTGAGTCTACAGTCAGTTTTTTCATGCATTTTATGAGAATTTAGTTTTTTTTTTTTTTTGGTCTTTTTTTATTTTTATCGGTACCGGGGATCGAACTCACGACCGCCTGCTTGCAAGGCAGGTGCTTATGCCGCTGAGCTAAACCTCCAGCCGAGAATTTAGTTTTTTACTATTTTATGAAGTCATTTTTCTTAAGTTCTTCACAGCACATAGAATAAAAATGTTTTACTGTTGTCATTTCACTTTATATTTTCTATCATATATTTTATATGTATAAAAAATTAAATATAGCACTTTCTCTTGTCCTAATAAATATTCTAGTAATTTTCCATAGCCTTACCTCAGAGTCAGTTGTTTCAAAGTATAAGTAAGGAGTCTTTATTTTGTAAAATAATCTATTAAAATGAGAAAACGTGGAGTATTCTAAAGGTTAATAATTTAGATATATCTAGTTAATGAAGTTTGTCTCAACACTAACTTGTTTTGTGACTTTTCTTATTAATTTAAAAATAAATATTTTTCCAAAAAGTACAAAAGTGAAAAATGTGGGTACTTTTTGGTACAGTTAATAATTTAAAATTCCTTATCTAATATTATTGAAACATCAGTAATTAATGATTCACATGTAAGGTCACCTAATATTCTCAAAATTCATGCAGACTAACACCGTTTTCTTTCTTTCTTTCTTTCTTTCTTTCTTTCTTTCTTTCTTTCTTTTTTGGTACCAGGGATCACACTCATGACCCTGCACTTGACAGCCTGGCACTTTTGCCACAGAGCTAAATCCCTGGCACTTAGTATCGTTTTCTAAAGAAAATTTTGACAACTTTTTCAAGCATTACACTGAAACTTTGGAAGGTTCTAGAAATCAGACTGAGGTTCTCAGAAGTTTCCCTTAGATTGGGGGCTTTGGGTAGAATACGCTGTGGCTTGTGAGAATGAAAAAACTAGCAAGGCCACTCTTTGCCCGAGTGCAGACTTGCCCTGGGCAGCTGTGCATCCTTGAGAAACTCAAGGCCTCTCTGAACCTTGTAAAATGAGAAACCAGCAGTCCGCCCCAGGGTCATGGGAGTCTGCAGACACCCTCATGTCCACCAGGCTCAGGTGACCTTTCCCTTCCCAACCTCCTGCATCTGTAAGAACAGCCCCCCTATATCAGCCCAGCAGCAGTTAGTGAGCATCCACCCGTTTCCAGCCTGCTAGTCCAACTCAGGTTTAAAAGGCTTACTGCGCAGCTGTGGCCAAGGCTGGGCAGAAGCAGGGGCCTCTGTGGTGCAGTGGGAGATGGCAGAGGCTCAGTCCAGGCTGGGAGGAACGCAGCTGGGGAGCAGGGCCTGAACTTTGCAGCTGCAGAGAGTCTTGTGGGGATCTGGAGACCCCTTAGTACAGATACCAAGAGTAGAATTCAGGGGAGACACTGACATAGAGAAGTGAGTGCAGGTTCACTAGTCTGTCAAAAGCATCGAAGCCCTTAGCTGGTAGTGAGTGCTCTGAACAGACAGAAAGGGACCAAGGAGTGAGATGAGGACTAAGCACTGACCTCAGATGTGGGCTGGCCCCTCACAGCCTAGACAGGCAGTTTGCATGGAGGATGGGGAGAAAGTCTGTTTAGAGAATGAGCAGGGATTAGGTCACTCTTTGAAGGACTTTTCCTATAAACAGAAGCAATGGAGAGATACCCAGTGGGCTTGGGAGCCAGCAAAGGCAGGTGGCTGGCACCGGGAAGGAGGCCCCATGTGAAGGGAAGGCTGCTGGAGCGTTCTGGTGGAGAGCACAGTGCTGAGGCTCACATCCCGGCAGCGAGGGTCGAGCCGACCCTGGGCAGCACCCAGCCTGGCGGAGCTCGGGCGTTGGTGTGGTGTGGCGTGCTGCAGGGCACCCACCGGCTCCTCTCCATGTGAGGCATCGCACAGGGAAGGATGTTGAAAGTGTGTGAGGAGAGGTAGATGTGGTTTAGGCTTTGTGAGTTGCTGAATAGGTAAATGAAACGCATGCATCCGTCTGATTTGGCAAACTGCAAAACAAAGGATAGTTGGCTAGCGATTCCAGTCTGTCATTTCCTGAGCAGGTTTTCTAGGGCATAACGCTTTGGAAGAGCAGAGGTCCTATGTTTGGGCCCTAGGAGATCACAGAGACATAAGTTCATTTTCTATAATGTGCCTCCGTCACTTTTCACAGCTGTTTGCGTGACTTTTTCCAGCCTGTGTTTTCATGTGGCTGTTTACCATTTCAGTGTCACCTTCCACTCACACTACCCCAATTGTGCCTGCCCTAATTTTATGAGCCAGTTAACACTGGTATTATTGACACTGTACAGAGAAGTAAGTTGCCCCCAAGAAAGATTGGTTTCCCGGGAGCTTAGGAGTGGCTGGTGTAGAATTCAAACCCAGGTCATGCCTTCGAGAGGAAGTAAAATACATTCTTGGATATTATAGGAATGGTTGGAATGAGTCAATGCTAGGTGAAACAGAATGGCGTCAAAGCTGTCATTGCGTCAAATGCTGGTTTTAGGAAAGAGTATGGTGCCGGGTGAGAGAAGGAGGCTAAGGGGAGAAAGGCCAGAGCCCTAGCTCCTGCCTTCCCTCACTATGCCACACCTGGCCAGGCTATGCCAGGGCTTGGGTGGGCCCACTATGAAATTAAGAGGTCGCATAGTTTACTTGAGTTTACAGAGCTGTGAGTCTTTAGTAGCTTTAGTATAAATACTGATTTCAATTTGCTTTTTAAATAAGTTTATTTGAGACTGGGGGTTTAGCTCTGCAGCATAAGTGCCTGCCTTGCAAGTGTGTGGTCATGAGTTTGATCCCCGGTACTGATAAAAAAAAATTTATTTAATTTCACATTTGACCATTTCTCCCATTGCTCTCATAATTTTATTTTGAACTAGAAGAGAAAGGTATATAAACCTCATTGTGCTGATTTAATAGACTGAAGTTACAGTTTATGAAGATAGAGAGTCTAACAGTTTTCCAAATAGTCTAGCCAGTTGTGGTGGTGCACACTGTACTCCCTATACTCAAGAAGCTGAGGCAGGAGGATCGCTGTGAGTTCAGGGCCCACCTGGGCTATATAATGAGTTCAAGCCCAACCTGAACTGCACAGTGAAACCTTGCCTCACACAAAAAAAAAGTCTAACATGGAAACCCAAACATTTGGATATTATTTTAAAATGCTGCTGCTGACCCAGGGGGGTGGGTCACTTTTTTTCCATAATTATAAACATAATTTTTCTTCAAATGATGCTATTATATGTAATGTGAATGCAAGGCATTTCAGTTGTATTTTCCTCAAGAGAGCTCTTAGATATTGATCAGTGGAATAAAGTTATCGAGCAGCTTGGAACACCATCAGCAGAGTTCATGAAAAAACTTCAACCAACTGTGAGGAATTACGTAGAAAATCGACCAAAGTATCCTGGAATCAAATTCGAAGAACTTTTTCCAGATTGGATATTCCCATCAGAATCTGAACGAGACAAAATAAAAAGTAAGATACCCTTTTATTCTAACACATGTTTTCATAATCCAGGTGACACCTCTTTTTTTCATATTTCTATTCTAAAACTTATAAACATTAAAAATAAGTCAAGCCCTGAAATAAAGTCAATTATAGGCTACAAAACTGAAGTACAAAGACATTCTAGAGAGAAAGCTCAAAATCTTGCCCTCACTACAGCAGCTTAACTAAAACCTTGACCAAAACTGAAATACTCAGCACAGTCCTAAAGATCTTATGTTATACTGTCAGCAATTAAAAATTTTTAAAATTTCAGATATAAACAACACTTGAATAGAAATCCTAGAGTCTGAAATTATATGATAGTAGTTCAATAAAAAAATAGTCTTCCCTACTCTTCATCTGCACCCTTACTAAAATGTCACTGCCTGATGAGAAGAATGAACTTATTTCCTCCCACACCAAGGTAAGCTGTTCCTTCATCAGAAAAACCCCAGTCTTTCCTTTGTTGTAAAGTTAATCGCCAGGACCACGCTAAGGCTCATATTTAACTAAGTTATTAAATTTGTTGGACTTTTGCCTGACTACTAATCTCTACATTTTAAAAGCAAAGTGTATGTTGTCTACACTGTATGCGGGTAGATGGGAAAGCAGAGGCATCTGTAATGTGTGTTGCACCAGGGGGGTGTGAGGTCGCTGTGTGGTTTAGAAAGTCTGCTCTGATTTCCTTTTCATGCGACATGAAGAAGTCCTCCCCTGAGCTTGGCAGCACCAGCCTGAGGCAGCCCTCGGCCTCTGCCTGTTGTGGCTCCCCAGCCTCGGCCTTGACTGGACGGTGGTCTGAGGCTGCCCAGTGCCTTCTGCCCACACGCCAGGGCCATGGTCCCCCGGCTCCCTTCTCACATGCAGGACGGAAAACTACACTCAAAAGCCTGGTTTGTTGTGAGAGTGGCCATTCAACTTCTCGATTGTTGTTAGACTCTCCATCTGGAAACCATCAAGTATTTCTCCAAGTCGGTTTGTCTTTCTTCTATTGGTGCTATCGCATTTAGTTCTCTATAGAGTAGCTTTCTTTGTTTCATATCAATAGCATTAGAGTGTTAATCCAGTATTTGTTTTCACCTAGCAAGTCAAGCCAGAGATCTGTTATCAAAAATGTTAGTGATCGATCCCGACAAGCGGATCTCTGTGGACGAAGCCTTGCGTCACCCTTACATCACTGTGTGGTATGACCCTGCTGAGGCAGAAGCGGTGAGTGTGGGTTTGTCAGGCAGTGGTCACCTTCCTTGCTCTTCTGTCTGCCTGTGTGGCTGAATAGGGATAGCATGTTACACATTTGAGGCTTCTAATTATGAAAAAGGCCAAAGGCTGAGACTGGCTACACATCCTCTTTGAGGTACTTGCTTTTAGTGCTGAGGCTCAGAGGACCCCAGGAATGAACATGCCGATGCTGTGGATTATAAATGCCTTCATTTGCCAGGCATGGTGGTGCACACCTATAATCCAGCCGCGGGGAGGCTGAGGCAGAAGGATCACCATGAGCTTGAGGCCAGCTTGGGCTACATAAATGAGTTCAAGGCCACCCTGTACTACATAGTAAGACCCTGTCTCAAATAATAATAGTAATAATAATTGCCATCATTTATACAAATACTGATGTGTAATAATAATTTAGTGATATCTATGAGCTTTGGCTCATATCCCCTTCTGTAGGCCCCAGCCAGTTAGGCTGAGCAGCTTGTTTACCTTCTCCAAGAAATCCTGCCTCCTGGCCCCTTGCTGTGCCCAGTTAGCACTGGCTGAAGTGAGCAGCACAGGCATGTGCTGGCCGTGGCATGGGTGAAGCTCATTTTATGTCTGAGTTACAGATTTCACTACCATGTTCAACGTTGTTTGATAGCAAAAGAATGGGAGTTACGAGCAGCCTTACAGAACAGTCCCTTGAGGAGCTCGGGCCTGGCTGTGGAAGTCCTAAGTGAAGAACTGGAAACCTAAGTGTGCTGTGCCTCAAAGTTCGCGCATCATGCCTGTCCAGGGTCTCCAGGAGGCAGCCTGTGATGATTAATTCTGGGATTTTGTTGGGCAGATGGTTATAGTGTCTTGAGGTCATGTGATTATTAAGGGAATTGATAATATTGTCTTTTTGGGTTAATTTTCCCTTATTTTGATTCTCAAACTGATATGTCACACTTGTAGTAAAAATCTGTAATAAATCAAGTGTTAAGAGCACTAAATCCATTAGCAAGTATTCTATAAATTTTCCAAATAGTGTTACTTTTACTTCATGCTTCATCATTTTTTGAAATACTGACTTCACATATCATTTAACTTTTAGCCACCACCTCAGATTTACGATGCCCAGTTGGAAGAAAGAGAACACGCGATTGAAGAGTGGAAAGGTAAAGGCAGCTTGGTTTGAGCCTTCTTAGGACTCTGTGTAATCTTGCATAGCAGAGGCTCTTCATTCCTTTAACACTGGCCCTTCCAGAATGGGCAGCAGGCACTTGCCATGCCCTGACCTCTCTCACGCCTGTCCAGTGGAGAGAACTGGAGGTCGTAGCAATGGAAAGGACCATATCTGAATTGAGACTGTGGTCTCCAGGGCTTTCACATGATTTTACACTATCAAATATTGGTAATAAATTTGTTGTTTTTTGTGATGAAAGTTGTAGAAAATGGAAATTGAAAGTGAGATAAGACTTAGGTGTGTGGATTCATTTCTGCCCAGTCTAGAGAAGCTTAGAACCCATATGTGAATAATGGTTCCATTTGGAGAACCACAAATAATCATGGAAAGAAGCACATTCAGATGGCTTTCAGATACTCAGCTCCTTAAGATATTTCAGAGAGCCACTCTGTTTCTGTTTGTGTCTCTTACTTTCTTTGTGTGTGTGTGTGTGTGTGTGTGTGTGTGTGTGTGTGTGTGTGTGTTAAATCTCTGTGATTCAGAATAACCCTACATTTTTGGATGACTTACTTAATAGTTTCATTGAAAGACTGGGGATATATCCTACCGGTAGAGCTCCTTCCTAGCATATATGAGATCTGGGTTCAAGTCATAGCACTGCAATAAAAAGAAAGAAAAGTTTTAATGGATCAAAATACAGGTGTTTTGGTCGAGGTAGACTATAGCAATAAATTGGTTGTGTATCACAATTTAAAATAACACATCATGGTGTCTTTGGAATGGTTTCCATTAGGCTGGGAGCAAAGTTTAGAGATGTAAAGAAACTAACAAAGCATTTTAACTTACATTTCTATTTGAAGAGCTAATTTACAAAGAAGTAATGGATTGGGAAGAAAGAAGCAAGAATGGTGTTGTAAAAGATCAACCTTCAGGTTAGTGATTGCTTGCATTATGTGATTGTATAATGTTTTCTTGCCTTTTCAACTTTTATAAATGACAGCCATGTGCTAAATACTTGCATGGCCACCAGTGGATTTGAAAGCTGTTTGTGTGAAGTGGCCTCTCCTTTTTGGCTTGTGCTGCTAGTTTAGCGGTAGCATCAGCTAAAAGTTTACTGATCTTCCAGGATTTGAACTAACTACATTTTAAACATTTTTATTTCATCCTTGTAACAGCTGCTGTCAGCTCCATTTATAGAAGAAATTGAACTTAAAACTTTCCTGTATGCATGACCCTCTGTATACTGGTCCTGTCCGGTTTTTTTTGTTTGTTTGTTTGTTTTGCTTTTTTTTAATGTTAATACAAACCCAGGTAAAATGGAACTTGGTTTTCTGTTGAGAAAATTATTCATGTAATTCTCCCATTTTTAAACTGAACCTACCTGGTGGTGGAAGCTCATGACTAGATAATCGTGTTATTCTGAAAGACAGTACTCTAGTATTAGTGATGTTAACCTCTCTCTGTAGGTTACTAAACTCTCTAGCTGTATTTATTTTCTCGCTCCCATTTGAAATCATATACATGTAAAACCACAGAGCTTACTTCATAGTCTTTATTTTGTATTCAGCATGAGTGTGTCAAGCATCTGGAAATTATATAACTTTAGCAGAATCTAGGTGCTTCTTTTAACCAAGTGCAAGTTTAAAACTGCAAACACTAACCTGTGAGTGCTTAAAAGGTTTACTTTGCTCAAACCAGACTAAAATGTGGATAATAGGAAATAGAATAACTTCCTTTGTCTTCCTTTGTCTTTGTCTGATTAAAATGTCAGGTTTCTAGCTTCATAAAACAAAAATTAAATGGATAGAATCACTTTTTTTGCCTCTTTTGGTATACAGTGTTTATTTTGGAAAATATTTTTACCACAAAGTGTTATTTTGAATATTGATACCCCTGAAATGTAGTGCTTATATAATAGCAAATGTATCTGATGACACTTGAATCTTGTTCAGCTTGCAGCTTCTTTTGACACTATGAGGATAGATTCAGCAATGTCCTTTTAAGTCCATTTGAAATCAGCAGGTATTTGTAAAGTAATTAAAGGATTGTTCTTGACTGCACTCAGTCACTGGGTAGAGAAGGAATGTGCACGCGGATAGATTTGGGTGATTTACTGGGCCTGAAGAGAGACTCAAGGAAGAGTTCCAATGCACAGTTAACTGACTTCTTGCATGTACAATAGGCCTAGGAGACTGCAAACCAACAGAACCAAGAAGTGACTGCAAGTCTGGTTACCTGAGTTTGCAGCCATGTCGTGCCTCAGATTTTATTCTATTTGGTTTTCTTAGCACAGATGCAGCAGTAAGTAGCAACGCCACACCTTCCCAGTCGTCCTCTATCAATGACATTTCATCCATGTCCACCGAGCAGACACTGGCCTCGGACACAGACAGCAGTCTGGATGCCTCCACAGGACCCCTCGAAGGTTGTCGATGATAAGTTGGAAAGAGCAGACTTGTTATCAGCAAAGAAACTCTTACTTCCATGGTCCTGAAATGTGTGGGAGTCAATGGAACCAAATAGAAAACCCGGTGTTCTGCATGTAAGAAACACGATGCCTTGCCTCTATTCAGTTCCAATAGGATTGCCTGCCTAGATTATAAAATGAAGCTGATTATGTCCGAAGAAAAAAGCGCAAGCCACACTTTAGAGATTTTGTTCAAGATCATTTCAGGTGAGCAATTAGAATAGATGATGTTTTCACAGGTCATGGTAACAGTGGTGACAGTTTCTCATCATCTGTAACTGTTGGGTCTTATGTGCATGTGACCACAAATGCTTGCTTGGACTTGCCCACCTCGCACTTTGGAAATCAGTATTTAAATACCAAATAATATACCAGGTAATGTTGCTTCTAGAGTGATCTCTTTATCCTCTTAATTAATTTGTTGTCTGTCAAGAAAAAATAGATTTATGTGTGTTAATTGGCCACCATCATATTATCATATCTTACCTTCTCTGATGGTATGATTTATTCTATCTTTTGTATTTCAGAAGGAATATAATTAAATCTATTTAATAAATAAAAATATAGATTTTCTTAAATTTGTGATATTTTGAACTGAGAACTATCACTGCTAAAACCAAGACATTTACGTGGGCACTGTTTCCTCTGAATTGTCTAGTCTGGGATGACTATACATCAGCTTTACTGCATGGTAAGATTTTCAGTTCTGTTTTATGCTGCTTGAGAGGCACACACCTTTGAATTCCTGTCTACCTTACCTCTCTCTGTTTTTTTTGTTTGTTTGTTTGTTTGTTTTTTGTTTTTTGTTTTTTGTTTTTTTGGCCTTCTGGACTCTGATTACTTCAAAATGCTACCTAGAACTTCACCTTCTTTACCAGACATACAACATACCATCTCAGTCACATGCTGGCCAGTGCATTTCTAAATCTTTTGCCAGCTGTTGGAGTAGAGCTTTGTAAAATGGTCTCTCAAGACCATTGCAGTCGTTTACCAAGTACCGGCTGCTTCTGCCAGAGTCTAGCTGGCCTTTTGCTCACACCGTCATTCACAGTGAAACAAGGTGGGTTTTCAAAGCTGCACTTTGCTTTGCCAGCATCATATTTTGGCTCAGTTTTCCTTCTTCACTGAAAGAAGCCGAGGGAGTCCCCTTCACGTGGTCCAGGAAGCCAATGAGAATGCCCATTCGCTGCTTGCCTTCCATTTTAAAGAGACATTTCCTTTTCTGAAGGAAAGCCAGGAATGTTCTAGGAAACTCTCAGAGGCATCCAGGGAAACACTCTAGTGAGGAGTGATTATTCATTGTTGAATGTTTTCTGATTTAGAACTGCTCACCTGAAATTGATACCTTCAGACTTCCTGATATGTAAATTACTCAGATTCCTTAAGATACTGAGTATTGTGTATTACTGCAGAAGTGGAGTTACGATTATCAGATTTTGTGTATCTGTGCTCAGAATGTTGTTTCCCTTGAGCTTACTTTGTTACCAATTCATATCTTGTGTTTAATTATTTTGGAAGCTTTTTGGTCAGCATTCTATAGGCTGTGTCTTGAAGAGGAGCTTTAGTAAGAAAGTTTACTATAAGCATATGATGGTATGAAGTACCAGTTGTATCTTAATGGTTGGTTTTATCACTGGAAACTGGAGCCCTTGATGAACAAAATTAATCTTGAAATGAGAAATAGTTTTATATTGTGTCATTTAGAACTTTCAGTTGCCTGGTGGAAGCACTAACTTGGATGGAGGCAGAAGAAATGCCTCTTACGTAGTTTTGGATTACTTACCTTTGGAGGCCTGCTGTTACAGTTAAGAAAGTTATCACTTTACACACAAAAACATCTTACAACGGCCTTCTCTCTCATACATGTTCTTTAAAAGACATCACTAAAATCTATCTTTAAAAAGGAAAAAACAAAGATAAGAGAGCGTTTCGACCACATAGTCTGCCCTCTGAGGCCTTGTATCTCCACCTTCCCGCACACTCTGTGAGCGGAGCAGGGTCCCCAGCACAGTGGCTTCTGCTCACCATTCCTCTGCACACCCGCAGGCCTGTGTCACTGATGGAGCCACGCTGGTGTGGATTGGGTCTCCTGCCAGGACCCTCTCCCATAGGTAAGGCTCCTCCGAACAGGCAGCACAGAGTGCTGTAGAAATACCTCACCCCAGATCAGGGCCCTCCTCCTGCACTAGACTAGCCAGGACCCTGGCATAGCGCAGCAGTTTTGACCCGATCTCTGTGGGTAAGTGCCGATGTTGGATAAGGAACTGAAAAATGTGCTCAACTTTCTCATCTTTTCTATTTTATTTTTGTAATTTATATTGTACACAACCCTGGAAGTAACTATTTTGGACTTGTATTTTTATAAACCAGGTAATTTCTGATTATCCTGGAATTTGGACTAGGTTTGTTTCTTTTGTTGGCTTAGTTTTCAGTCCAAAAGAAAATCACTGCTTCCTGAGTCAGGGTCTCAATTTCATGTACAGGTACCCAAGGACAGGCAGAGTCCTGTCAGGGTGGGAGAAAGTCTAGAAACACTGGCTGCTCAGTGTCCAGCTGCTGTAGGCCTGTAGATGGAGCAGGCCTTCTCTTTGGAACAGGAATCTTAGAGCCCCAGTGTTGAAAGGAGAAAGCCCTTGGCAGGGCCCCTTGCTGACACCCAGGGCCTCTGTCTGAACCACTGAATGGGACCTTGGTTTAATCTGACTGAATGCTTTGTAAGTCATGATAACAGTGTATGAGTTCATCTGGTTGATTTCTGATGTAACTCCTCTGGTATTTCATGCAGGTAGTAAATGCAAGTGTGACCTTTCAGATTGCATATCTCAAAAGTAACTTTGCCTAATGTTTTATAATAAAATATGTGTGTTTTGATTGGTGAAAAATACAGACTACATTTTAAAAGAGAAATACATAATAGCATGTCCAGTCTTTGTGTATTTTTAAGTGACAATTGACTGTATCTTTCTATATCCCTATCTCTGATTAGACTTAACATGAACACAAGTAGATGTTGGAGTGTCATTTCAGGCAGTATGCACAAGGGTATTCAAATTGAAAGGCAGGAACATTTCCTTATTCTCTTACTGCAAATATGCTGCAAATTTTTGAATCTTAAATTTGAAAGTAAAGGCAGTAGGTTTTGAATTCAAAAACATGAAAGTACAAAATGGAATACTTATGATGTCATTGTTTCCTTACAAGGTGTGTAACCAGGAAGATCTGCCCATCTGTCTTTATTTACATTACTTACAATCCTTGACAGTGATTGTGTGTTTGTGGTTTTGTGCTTGGGATGAGATGCTTTTACCTTGCTTCTATTGTAGTTTTAAGCAGTTCCAAGTGTTTGATATTTAAATCTACTGGCACAGCAAGGCCCTCCATAGTTCATTTTTTTTCCCCTGCTTAAGAGAACTAGAACCATTTCAGATAGATGAGTCTCAGTTTTATTTTTAAAGGTCTCTAGAAGACTTGACATCTCTCTGGGCTCCATTTCTCTATCTTGCCCCCTCCCAGCTTCAATGTAGGCAACACCTAAATACCTTTTATTTATTGACTACAGTGGTACATTTAGATGGTGGGGATTTGGGGGGGAAGAACCTGAGTATCCCAAAATAACATTGTAATGAGCTACCAAGTATTATCCCAAAGATTACATGGAGAGTCATGTGAATTTAAGTACAAGGTTACCTAAAAATAAGATAGTCATTTGATAGGTTTTTTGTGTGTGTTTGTATCTTTTCGAAACATGATTCACTGTGCAGCTGAGGCTGGCCTTGAACTCATTTTGTAGCACAGGCTGGCATTGAATTCACGCGATCTCCTAGCATGTATTACCACACCTAGCAACCACTTTTTGTTTTTATTCAGGAAAATCCGCAACAAAACCAGTAATAACAGTAAGAGAGTAGTCAGTTGCATCTCCTTGCAACTGAGTATGACCATGGTTCAAGAGGAATGAGTCTGTCGCAGCCATTGGGTAGGAACCGGCCGTATGTCCTCAGCCCCCAGGGGTCATTGTGAGCCTGATTGGTGGCTCTCCATTTTCTTTGTCTGGGTATTTTGCAATGGGAAGGAGAATTCAAAATCATTTCACTAATCACCTCCACAGTACCTTGAGGAGGCTGTGGCTCCAGAGAGGGGCACACCATGCCTGGCACGGGGAAAGGTTGTTTGTTCTAGACTGCAGGCCGCCTCATGTCCTCACCAGTCTTTCCTTACTGTCTTCTGTTCAGAAACACCTTTGAGAATCCATTGGAAACTTTTCCCTAGAAAAATAGCATGAGCATGAATCTCGGCAGACTGTACAGAGTCCTGGGCCCCAGTAGATCCTGTGTTAAGAGCCCCCTCTAGGTGCAGCTTCAGATGCTTCGTGCTCTCTAGCAATGCCTGTGAGAGTGCTTTGCTACCCTCTTTCTTCTCAGCTCCAGCACTTTAACACTCAGATTTTGAGTGTAAATGTAGAAGTCATCACTCTCAGGTTCCACCACTAGTCAGCATTCTTCTGTGACATCAGAAGGAATACAGGGACTTGGTTCCAGTGAAATGACTCTTGCCACTGTCCATTACGGTCTTGCTATGTATGCAGTCAGCCCTGGCCTTTAAACTCCAGAACGACACCAACTTTGCTGACGAGGTTGGAGATTAGAGGAGGAGAGAGACCAGAGGGATGGGTGAGCAGGCTATTAGTGATCAGAGATAGATACCTAACATTTCAAAGAACTGACAAAATTGATATGGAAATTAAAATTCTTTGCTTGAGCTAAAAGGAAATTCAGTCAGGAAAATGGAAGAAAAAGAAAATATGATGAATAGAAAAATGAAATGAAAGCATAATTAAGTACTAATGTACCAATTATTAAAATAGATGTAAATGCATTTATCAAATAGATTTAGACTTATCAAAAAATATAAAAGTACACTTTGAAATCTGAATGCAGTCCTCTCAAAAACTGACAAGTCAAACCGACAAGGTGAAAAGTGAACAAGGATCTAGAAGAGTGGATGCGTAGTTATTTACCGTGGGCTCCCGAGGAATGTCGGACCCAGTGGGAAAGTTACTTCCAATCATACCTGGACCTGAAAGTGCCAACGAGGTGCTACAGAGGAAACCTCAGTAAATTCCAAAATCAGCATCACAGGACTCATTTTTCCTTAACAATGTAATAAAATTAAAAGCAAATTTGAAAAGATCTTACATCTGGACATTGATCAATGCACCATAACGAAGCTAGGTAAAGGGAAGTTGTGAAGAAAAATATGGAATTCTGAACAGTGCATAGCCTCAACACAGAGCACCAAAAGCCAGGGCTTGCTTACATTTATCACAGGTATGACTGATTTCAAAAAGTGAGTTCAAAAAACAAAAATTAGCTCAGCATTCAATTTGAAGATGGACAAAAGCAAAAGAGCAAGCCTAATGTGACAAACAGAGAAAAACTAAAGAACAGCAATCGAAAAAAATCAGCAACAAAACCAAAACAAAAATGCGAAGAAAAAATTAGCAAAACCAAGAGATTAATAAAACAAATTTCTGGCAATACATATCAAGAAAAAAATGTAAGTAAATGTAAAGATGAAAAGGGCCATAACCACAGACATAAGAGGAAGTTTCACAATCACCTAACAAAAGTGGTGACCTGCACCAAGCAAATAGATCTCCATAGAAATACTGAGTACCAATCAAGAAGAATGCCTGGGCACAGCACATGCACCAGCTGTCAAATCTGGGAGGCCAGTATTACTACCTTGTTAAAGTTGCAAAGACAGAAGCAGGAACAGAGCACATGTGTCCTGAGCCAGGATCCAGAGCGACAGTCAGGCCAGCCGAGCTGGGGCCATCCTTCATGGTCTTAGCTTCCGTGTGCTCCAGATGGACTCCTGAACACTTGCATTGATCCTGACTGCCAAAGAAAGTGAAATGTCCCCCAGAGATTCTCCAAGACAAACCAATCTGACAGGTCACTAAATTTTCAAAGCTTCCCAGTTTAGTGTATAAGGCTAACCTCATCTGGATTTCCAAGCAGGATAAAGATAGACCAAGAGGATTATATGCTCTTCTGGTAGATGTTAACTGAATTCATCACTGTACACTTTACTGTAGAATGCTAGCATGATTCAACAGTTCCTACAGATGGCCATTTTTTTTGTTTGTTTTTTAAGAAACATATTAGAAAACACTTCATAGAAAAGAGCTGCCTGTGGGTTATGGCCTGTGCTGTCAGGGTCAGGTGGGAGGAGGCAGCAAGCGTCAGCCCTCCTGCTGGAGACCAGGAGAGGTCATACCAGGAGAAGGCAGAAATCAGTAGTAAGGACATGAGGCTGTCACAGTTCCCTGTGTGCACACATACACACATCCATACACCCACACATGTGCGTGTATGTGTGCAAACTGAGGAGATAAGAGAGGACAGAGGGCTGGACAAGCCCACTGACAGAAAGGGACGGCTTCTGTCCAGCCATTCCTTCAAATCTAGAACTAGTTGTCAGCCCAGCAGGAGGTGGCGCGTCACCCCAGGGGAACGTTGCCTTCTCCACACAGGTCAGATTGGACCCCTCTTTAGAGCCAAGTCCATGCCGCCAGCTAGGAAACAACATTCCCACAAGCTCCCTCGACTCTGCTTAGCTCACCCCGTTCATGCCAGCGTGCGTTCATTTCCCACAGGTGTGCACTGAGCACATTTCAGTCCCAGATCCTGCACACTGGATGCCAGGCTACACACAGACACACAACCCTTGCTTTTAACTCTTCACGGCCACACTTAGATCATGAAGCTCCCATTCATGGATGTCGCCAAATAACCAACTCTGTAACCTCGGCCTCGCTGCAGGCAGGTGCTGAGTCATGGTGGACAGAAGCTTTGTGACATCACCACCACCATGCAGGAGAGGGGACTTCCCTTCGGAAGAAGTACCTGAGCTGACTGGGAAGGACAAGGAAAAGTTGCACAGGGAAGGTGCCCTGTACGCTGACTTCATCACTGAAAAATACCTGGCTGTGTCTCCTTCATCCTGTCCTCATCCAGTCCTCAAAGGCAGGGACGGTGGCTGTTTCCCAGCTGACAGGAGTCTCCTGGGATGCAACTGGGACCAGGTCCTGGCCCCACACGGAACCACTGGGGGTCCCCTGCACCTTGCACGTGTGTCTCTTCCTGCCACTATGCTCACAGACACACGTCTACACTGTGAGGGTTGCCAGCTGTCACAGTTAGGATGCTGAGATGCCTGGACTGACTTCTGTGCTTTGCCACTGGGAGATTCTGTAAAATGGAGCGTGGGAACCCATGTTGGCATTGTTGGGCTTTACCACTAAGGCGAGTGATGTCCTCGGATTCCATTTCCCGTCTTACACACACCTACTTGCTTTTCCTACATGTTCTTCTATTAGACTTCCATTTTCATGTTTACTTTTGGTGTCATTTTTCCAAGTCTGTTTATGGTTTTACGATCCTGAGTACAACCAAGCAGCAGCAGACATGGTGAAAGTGATCATCAGTCTCTTTTATGGATGACGGTCCCTTTCTAAATCAAAGAAACACTTGGGGCCAGGCATGATGGTGCCGCGAGTAGTCCCAGAACTTTGGGAGGCTGAGACAAGAGCACTACAAGTTTGAACCCAGCCTGGGCAATTTAGCAACCTAGTAAGATCCTGTCTTAAAAAATGCTGCTGTGGATGTAGTACATAGGTCCAGTACAAAAAAGAAAGAAAGAAGGGAGAAAAGGAAAAAGAAAAAGATTGATTTAGGGGCTAGGGCTACAATGCAGTCCTAGATCACTTGCATAACACGTTCAAGGCCCTGAGTTCAATTCCTCACTTTAAAAAAAGTTTCTCCCACACATGATTATAATCAGACTCTTAGTTTCAACTTACTGCAAACTGCATTATGTCAAATACCTGCTATGAGTAGAGGGAGGCTTTTTTTAAACTT